CGCTTGGGCCCCTCCAGGATTGGATCAAGATGGGTGATAGTCTTTTTTTCAACCTCTAAAAATCAGTCAAGTGGCCCGACCTCCCCCCCATGCTGCTTTTTGTAAACAGCCGAGGAGGACATATGGGAGCAATTAACCAAGCTGAAGTTTTGGTGGATGCTTTAGGGTGACTTGTGTGGCTTTCCTGAATTTTCTCTGCCTCACTTAACTACACACAAACACTCACTTTTCTGGGGCAAGAATGAGCTAAGGCGGATGGAAGGTGTAAGGGGCGTCTCGCCTGCTGTGTCTTTTTCTTTCCCAAACGCGAATTAGGGACGCTTAGGGACCAAAGATTGCCCTGGGAGCCCCCGGGGCCCAGTCTCAGCAGCCTCCCCCGACCGCTCTGGGCTGGCCCTGGGTTGCCTGTGCTCCATCCACGGAGGGCCAACATCGTGCCTGTATCCGCGGGAGGAGCGGGGTATGGAGGTAGGAGAAACACAAGGATGCTATTATTGTTTCGGTCGGTAGCAGTAAATTAAATTCCCTAATTCCAAAATGTTTGTTATTTCCCAGCAGAGCGAAAGCCGGGGTAGGGCCTACAGATTTGGGAGTCCTGGGTTCCCTGGCAGGCAGTTCAGGCCGGGGAGCTCAGCCCACTCCATACTCGAAGCCCTTTAGACCAGCCTTGGTCACAGAGGGGGTCAGTTAGGACTGTTGCTGCCTTGGGTGGCCCGCGGGAATCGTGGACGGGTCACCCCAATGGTGTGTCTGGAGCAGGGAATACAGAAGTTGCTATAAATGGATTTATTGGCAACCCCTAACCTTGCTGTGTGGCAAACTCGCCTTTAAAGACAACTGTGTTTTAAACAAGTTCCCCCATAAAAACTTCAACCTCACACAGAACTTCCCAATATAAAGATAACCCATTAAGAGGAGCGTCCGTATTTAAAGTTCCTGTGAAAAGGGACAGGAAATAAAATGCCACACAATCTCATTACATAAATAAAAGATGACTGAAATTTACTGGATTTTTCACCCACGGTTTCAAAGGCCTGATTATTACTGTGCTGATATTTGAGCAGTAAACGTATCAGCGGCCTTGAAGTCTTCCTAAAACAAAGCAGGATATGAATATTTAAAATAAAATATAAACTTACTAAACGAGGAAAGCTATTGACTTATTTCTTCATTCTGAAATGTCTCATTGCTGAATAATATGGTAATCTGTTTTATTTAATTTCTCTTGAAATGAAATGTATGAAAGTTACCAGTCCTTTCAGTAACAGATGAAAAAGCAGGACAGCAAGCTTAATAATAAAAGAACGACACAAAGAACAGAAAAAAAAACCCCAAAACTCCAGGCTAGTCTAACTAACCTAAAATATTAAGATACAGAAGAAACAATCCTAGGGAAATAGACTGGTACAATCCCCTGCCCCAGGCTTCTTTATAATGGGTGAAATGTGTAATGGATGAAATTTACAATTTGTATCACTTTCTTCTGTCTTTGGCTCTTCTAAGTTGTGTCCTCCAGGTTTTTGATGAAATTCCTCAGTTACATGGGGCTTTGAAGACAATGAAATTCACTTTTTCCCTTCTATCCTCAAAGCTCCCTAAGTAGCAAGTAGAAAATCAGATAAAGTAAATATGGTAATTACCAGCATCATCTTTAAATTATTTTTAGTCGAAAATTTTTTGTCTTTATACCTTCGTAAGTCACAGTCACTAAAGAAGTAACTTCATCACTGCCTATTTAGGAGTGTTTAACATTCTGAACAGGCATACAGCTAGCAATCTGAAATTTGTACACAGAAGGGCCCTGTCTCCCCTTCTTCCTATACTGTTTATATAATCCAAGCTACATATGTTATTATGCACAGTCTGATCTCCAGCTTTAAACAGCTAACATTACATACAGTATGTCATGCTAAGAACATCAAAGCTATCTTAAGCTGTGAGTGAAAATGGTACATTTTATAGAGGATAAGGCCAAAAATACAGAGTAATAAAAATTCATGGGTGGGGGAAAAAAGGGAGCTCCATTAAGATCAAGTCTACAAGAAAAAATTTTGAACATTTTCTAAGCATCTAAATATGTGAAGTATTAGTGGAGCATAGATTCAAAAAATGAATTTTAATGCTTTTAAAAAATCTCCTTTCAAACAAATACAGATGATTTTGGTTAGTTGTTAGGGAAGGGCTTGTTTGCATTTTTAGGGAAAGGGGAGAGCAAGAGTCACCTCTTGCTTTTCATAGGGTATTTCTGCTTATCCCATTCAGTTTCAAAAGCTCACTCATTACATTTCTGTTGATTCCAGCCAAAAAGAGAGAGAGAGAGAAATATAGATCACATGAATATTGTATATTGAACACGTTCACCAAACATACATACAGTACACTGGATTCCATTTTTAAATTTTCTCTCAGTTTGCCAGGAGTGTAGCTTTTCTCAGCAGAGTGGGAAAAAAAAAAAAACAGCAAATAATAAACTGGTTATTTTACCCTACAATTTACTGCCCAGGGCAATAGGCTAAGGAAGGCGTGAGAAAAGAATGTGCCTTGTGAGTGTTAGTATGCTTTTTTCCCTGGCTCAGATTCTTAAGTACTTCTATTTTAAAGCAAGCCTAAGTTAGGATCATAGCCAGTGTTTATTATTGTATGTGTAGTATGGAATACATAGTGAGAAGTGAAATGTTTAAAACAGCGTAGTAATTAAATACAAAAACTGAGACAGGATTGAAAAAAAAAAATTAAGGCAAGGTAGGCAAACCAGACTCAAAAGAATTCAGCCCACAAACACTTTTTTTGCCTACTTCGGAGTGTTGTTTTTTGTTTGTTTGTTTTTAATATTTATAGAATTCATTCTCCTTTGATCCATTCATTCTTCCTTTTCCTTTTAACATTTTGAGGAGGAAACAAAACTTTAAAGACCTGGGGAGTAATGAAATAAGTTGGGTTATTGTTAGAAATCAGTTGGGAAAAGCAATGAAATGACATACCCCGACACAGTGCCTGCATGTGTCATAACCCAGGGTCCCGCACAGAGACAGCGCACAGTCAGATGTGGGCTAATGGCAGACATCCATCCAGGGAAATCAGAAGCCATAGTTGTACACAGTCAGCCAAGCAGTGAAATTAAAAGAGTCACCTAATGGGACATATAAACCCCTCCAAGGGTCTACACATGGCTTGCCAATATTGTAGAAACTCATCCAGTAGGGGCGAGGCAGTGAATTATTTAAACTGATAACGAATCCACTAAGGGAAGAAGGTAGGGAGATAGATTCAAGGGTTCACATTTCCTATTAGAATACAGGAGTAACTAAAATCCTGGGAGAAACTGGTTTAAGATAGCATGCCATCTGACTAACATTTTAAATATAGATTTAGTCCAATCTTCTGATGGGGAAATGGCCTATAGGGGGAAATAGAAATTTCCTGTGTTCAGGAAGGGTGAGGTAATGCAATCAGGCAATAATCCCTCCAGTAAATGTTGTTGAGTCTGGTTAAGACAGATTAAAAAGAAATGAGAAATGTGCTGTTAACTTTGAGTAAAACAAATGCATTTTAATATTCCCCACTTCGGGAGGAGTGCTTTCCTTTTTTAAAAAAGAATGGACATTACAGTCATAATATCTAGACTCCAGTTCTGACTCTGGCAGTTATTGTTGGTGATTCCTGGCAATTCATTTCATTTCGTTTTTTTTTTTTTTTTTTCTTTTTTGCACCTTGGGTCCCTTATCTATAGAGTAAGGATGGTGGCAACAGAATTTCTGCCTCACGGGGTTGTTGAAAAGATTAAATGAAATCAGGCGGAAAGCAGAAATAAATCAGAAAATGCTCTACCAAAGCTAATTTTTATATAACATATAATGAGCAATATTTTTCCCTCCCCATTACCTGGGACCATGTTGGCTGGAATAACAACCTAAAGGCTAGATCAGAGCAGTCCAGAGTGCCCACATGTGCCCAGTGTGAGAGGAGGGGTGCCTTAAGGAGGATTTAGTAGTAGGTAAGAACGCCAATCAAATTCTCAGGGGCTCATCTAGGGGTAAATTGGCAGTTCCTGTTTCAAACAGTAGCACTCAGGAGACATTTACAGAGTTATATTTTTTGGAGCCATTTACATTTTTCTTCTATGCTAGTGTTAAAAAGGAACAATTATAGTCTATATACCATACAGGTGAACCTCACTTTATGCAAATCAATATATGGAAATTCTTAATTGCACAATATACTGATTAAAAGGAAATTTTTCCTTTTAAAAAATTCTTGCTGAGATTATTTGCAAGTGCCACTACCATCTTGTTTATGTTATTAATTACTAACCATCCTGTC